AGAGTAGAAATCAGGTCACAATCTATTGTCTTTCTTGTACTGCAACATGACCATATTTTAGACAATCATTGCTTCTGGTGGAAGCTGAATAAATGTAACAAGGAAATGAACATTACCATTAATTTCCTTAAAAATAATCACAGGTGATTCTGTTACCACTGTTTACAGAATGTATTCAAAACTTTTTTGCTTTGTAACATGTAGCATAAGCTTATAACAAAAGTCCCTAAGTGAGGTCTTTTACCTAGGCTGAGAAACTATAAAGCATGCTAACTCCAATGCATCATATGGCAGGGTTAGTCCATGTTTCAAAGCCTGTACACTACGCATCAATCTGTTATTTGCTGTTGCAGTCCTTTATTGTCTCCTCAACCCCCTCAGCTTTGTCCTCCACCCAGGACAGGCGGGCAGGTGGCTGGGCGGGCAGGCGCTCTCTCTCTCTCTCACACACACTTACTTCAAGTCCACACTTTCAAGATAGACACTCAGGAACCTTTTTCTTTGAGGCTTCGTATACTGTGCTGATCCCAATGCTTTACTTTATCATTCAAAACACTCAGCAGAACCAAGAAAAGAACAAGCATCAAAGACACAAATATCAGAAGCACATAGGAGCTGGCCAAGCTGACTGGGGGCAATGACAGTTGCAGTCCAAAACATCTGCAAGGCACCTGATTGGAAAACACTCTTGAAGGCAGGAGTGGGCAGACTTTAGGCTTGTGGGACTACTCTGTATTTCACTAGCACCCTGAGATTCACCAGCTGGAGCTAGTTACAAAACAGTGGCTCAGAAATGCAAAGAAAGAAATGAGGAACAAAGAACCTCTGAATCCATACTCAGTCCCAGAGCTTGTTTTCAGTACTAGATCTAGTGCCCATATACGAATTCATTCCTGTTTTCCCAAGCTCTCAGAATTTCAGCAGCATATTTCAGGCTATTTTTATGCCACTGAAAATCAGCAGTCCTTTCTGATCAACTGCAAATCTACCAAATATCTACAATAGATCCTGATCCACCTTCTGCCCACTCCTGCTTTAAAGTATTTATGGTTCTCTATTTTCTCCTAGTCTGCTTGCCCTTCCCCCAGCCTGAAAGCTGCCCTTAACAGAAATAAAGCTGTGCACAGAGGCCTGGGCAAGAATATATTGCTGGATAAGGTAAAGCCCTTAGCTTAAAATTAATCACATCATGCACCACAATTCTCCAGAAACAGCAAGGGGCAGCATGACAAGGAAGAAAGGTTATACTAGGGCCCTAAGAATAGTCAATTGAAATTGTAAAATATTTTGCATACTTTGGCTCAATTATCAATTTAAATGGAAACTGCTGCCAAGAAATTAGAAGACTAAGTCTTGAAAGTGCAGCAATGGAGGAACTGGGAAAAAAATCACCTAGCGCAACAAGGGTTCACTGGAGACCAAGGCCAAGATCCTCCACACTATTGTATTCCTGATTCACTATGCAAGAGTATGAAAGCTGGATGCTGAAGAAAACTAAGATAATGGAAATCGATACATTTGCTACATGGCACTGGAGGAAAGCTATGTGAATGCCTAGGACAAATTCTGGATCAAATCAAGCCAGAGCTTTCCCAGATGGCAAAATATAAGAAACTGAAGCTGTCATCAGTCACTCTAGGCACATCATGACAAGACTTACTGGAGAAGACAATCATGCTAGGACAAGTCAAAGGCGGAAGAGGAAGAGCAACAATGAGATGGATCAATTCCATTTAAAACCGGAGACTTGAGTTTACAAGAGCTGAGTTGTGCTGTGAAGGACAGGGCATTTGGAGGACACTCATTCATAAACTTGCCATAAGTCAGAGATGATCTGATGACACCAGAAGGTTTTTCAAGTGTCATGTCCACATAGATTCAGCATAGCAGACAGCCACTAAAAACCATGGGAACTGTTCCTGTTTACATGGGATTAACATGATGGTACATTCTCTAGATATTTTCATAATAGTCCCTCAAGGTACTTTTTCTTACCACTCCTTTGCATAGGATTACAACCTCTGGGGATCTTGGAGACTGGTGTCCACTACTTAATCACCAGTGAGATGAAGTACAGCAAAGTACACAATTCTTATAAGGTAGGGTGAAGGTTGCATTTCTACACACACTCACCCAGGATTAATTAATAAAATGGACATATATAGGATTTTGTTGTTAAACCTCTATCACTCTCTTTGGATTTTTAAAATTAGTGCAACTAAGTCTTCATGATTTGATCAAAGATTTTATGTTATTTGAAAAGATTAAAAGTTTCCTTAGAATAAAGCCTATCATTTACTGAAACCACAGCAACCCTTATAGTGAACCCTACAAAGGACATTATGATATACCAATTTACCAATTTCAGAACAGATTGTGAACATAAATGCTACAATCCTCATGCAGTGCAAATGTTAAAGGAGTATGTGCAGTTCTATGAATGTTTAGACTTAACTCCCAGTATTCCCCAGTTGTCCAAACATTCGTATGATTATGCCCTAAATGAATATGTTTAGGGTTAGTCTTGCAAACTTAAGCCCCAATCATTTCTCTAATCTAAGTAGGTCTGACGTTAAATACTATTCCTTTACAGTCTTCATAAAGGCCTTGGAAGAAAGTTAATATATAAATGCAAGCAATACGTTATTGCTAATAACTTAAGCGAAATGGTATGCATCCCTTTAAGCATGCTTGTTTCTGCCACTTAAACTTGCCTAAAGTTAAAGTGATTATATTAGCAATTATAACACTGCTTAATAATAAATGAATAATTTTTGGCACATTCACATTTACCAGCCTCACACTGTTTACCAAAATTCCATTTGACAAACTTATCACCTACTACTGTTTCAAAATATCTGTCATGAGATAAGAATTAATTCTTAACACATCTTTTATATAGTGAGATAACACACTTCATACACACTCTTTCATACAATTAACATGTTGGAAGTTTTCCATAAATTGCAGATGCTGAGAATAACTGTTTCTACCACAGCAAGGAACACTATAACAGGAAACTCTTAGGGAGTTTTCTGAGGAGAGGAGGAATCACACACAGGTACCAAACCAATCACTGTACATTTTACATCATTATGCAGCTCTCACGTTTCTTCTCTCTGAGCTTTCGCTTGGCACCAACGTGGTGAAATAAACCCTATCCCAACAGGGCCAAAAGAGAGTTTACAAAGAAAAACGTGGTGGAGGACAGAGCTTTGAATGCATCCCCTTTTCCAGTGGGACAGCCTGACCTAAGCAGAGGACGCACTGAGGAAAAGGGTCGGGTCGGGAAAGCGGCTGGAAGCACTGTCAGCCTAGCGCAGAACACAAGCACTGCTTGCGAGGGCAACGGAGTTGCCGTTGCCCCTTCCCGCAGCTGTCCTGAACCCAGCAGAGGAGTTAACCCGCTTATTTATAAGCTCTGGGACGGAAGTGGGAGACGGCGATTCCCCACACCCGCCCCCCTCAGCACGGAGCAGGCCCCTCGAAGGCCAAAAAGGGCGGAGGGCGCCGAGCACCCCCCCCCCCGCGGCTACTGGCGAGGGAGGAGAGGGGCTGTCAGTGTCGCAGCCCGCCAGGCTAGGCCGCAGGGCCTGTCGCTGGCTGTCCCGGTGCACCTTATTCAGAGGGAGAAGGAGCAGAGCGAGCGGGCTGCCTCCCCTCCGTCCCTCCCTGGAGCCAAGGGGTTGCTTGCGCGCTCGCTCACCGCTCTCGATCTCATTGCCCTTCTTGGCGGTGGCGGCGTTCCCCATGGCCGAGCCGGGGCGAGCGGCGGCAGGTCAGGCTGCTCCCTCCGTCCAGTGGGGAAGGGCAGGAATCCCGTCTGCGGGTCGAGCCTGGCTGGGCGGCACGGCCAAGAGGTCGGGCCAGTGCCTTTCCTCCCCTTGGCGCTCGGCGTCTTTCCCTCTATCTTCTTTCGCCCCGCTGTGGGGGCTCCGGGGGACCGGCGGCAGCGAGCCCGCTTGCTTGCTTGCCTGCCCTCCTCCCTCCCCAACTCACACACGACGGAAATGACGGGCGCTGAAGCGCCTCCTTCTCCTTAGTCGCCTCCTTGCCGCTGTCGAAGCCTTGCCAAAAGCCTTTGGCGCGGCCTGGTGCGCCTCAGGAGAGCGTATGAGATGGCTTCCCCTGGTACATAGAGCTAAGTTTTTTAAAATTATTAATATTATTTTACCCGGCGGGCAAGCAAACGTCCGCTCCCCCACCAGGAGAAAGTCCAACGGCCGCGCCGCTTACGCACGAGATGCGTGCGAGTTAGCGAATTGGGAATACTTGCCGCCACCTACCATCAGGTCTAGTTCATTCCCGCCTGCCGGGGCTGCCATCCTGCCTCTCCGTTGTGTGCTTACTTGGGAGCAAGCCTTATTGACCTTACCAAGTAGAGAAGGCTGCAAAGCTGCGGTGCGCGTTTACCTCGGAGAAAGTAACCCCACTAAGTGCTTTACGACTTCGCAATAAACATACCTAAGGGTCGGACGACACGCACGACTGCAGCCGTAGGCGCACTTGCTTACGCGAAAATCCCATTGAATTAAATGGAACTTCAGAGTTAAGGAGCAATGGCTTGAGCTATCTGGCTGCAGCTCTGTGCCCTCCAAGTTTGTTATGTTGTGGCTAGTAAAGGCTGGTTGTGGGTAAAAGAGTAGGGTCAGAAGGGGCCAAGAAGACCATCGGGTCCAACCCCCTGCTGGTGCAGAATGCCAGTTACAGTGTCCCACTCAGAAAGAAACTGAGACATAAGCAAGAAATGAGAGCAAATCTTGATTGGACATATGGCCAATTTGGGAATAGGCATTCAACGGGATCTGGTGGGGTCACACTCCCCATTAAGGACCAGTAATAGATTGGTAGGTTTCCTGAATTTGGTCTTGCTCCTGCCTTAGCTGGTAACAGCACAATAAACGTTTTTCTTTTAAGGTGCTAAAACAGGGGTCTCAAACTCGCGACCCACCCGGGCTGACCTCCGGGAGCCACGCGGGATGAGCGGCCCACCACCACCGCGGTGGTGGAATACTTGATGCAGCCCAGCCTCACCCAGGCTCTACTTCCAGCGGCCCCCAGGTGAGTTTGAGACCCCTGTGCTAAAAGGTCTTTCCTTTTGGTTTTGCTGCATGAAACAAATGGCTACCCTCTGGGAACTGTTCCCTTTTCTGCTGAAGATGGACCTTACTACCATTACATGTGTTATGGGCTGCTTTCATGTTGCACTAAAGAGCTGTTCACTACTTAGGGTTTATTTTGAGATGTATATGGAAATTTCAGTAGTGCAAAATGACTTCACAAGAAGGCTCACAGTAGCCTTTCATTTGATACCCAGAGCCAATCAGCATCCCAGGAGGGCCATTTGGCATAATCCTCAATCTCAGTTAATTTAATTTTGAACACATTAATTTTCTGGCAGTTGGTAAGTCTTGCAGCTTGTTTTTATGTGACTAAAGTGCGGCAGATGCTGTCTTTTTAGATCTGCAAATTTGAGCAAATGAGACATTTGGTGAAGGTTGTATGTTTTGTTGTGGATTGACAGCATTTAAAATGTTGCTATTAATAAAATATATCATTTCCAACAGCACAAGATTAAACCACAATGAAAGTGTATTTTTCAGATTAGCTAATTGTATAAATCAGTGTTACTATTGGCAGGAGCTAGATCAAGTGCATGTTGAAATGTAGACAATGGTTACATTTTAATATCTTTAAAGTTCTGATTGTATGTGATAATTCCAAATTATTGTCTTGGTAAAGTAGCTAAAAGAAATAACTGGGTGGTTGTTTGGTTGAGTCTTAGCTTGGTTGCTTGACTATGATCTACAAACTTTTCTATTTTACAGGTTCAGATTCAGATTCATCACCATGTGGTGACCATCTTACACAGTGATAATTCACATTTGAGTGTTTTGGACACCATCCTTCTGTCTGTGGCTGTAAATATGTCAATGAACAAAATTATAGATAATGAAAATTCTGCTACTGCATCAGGTGGTATTTTAATGTCAATATCTAAAAGGAGGATAGTAATCAAAGAGGATATGTTCCTGTATTAACAGATGCAGCAGAAGAATCTGTATGATGAAGAAATTAAGCAACAACAAGAAAATGCAGTTTATCCAAAATAGTAATTCATCAGTACCACAGTTTTTATTGTGACTGACACTGTAAATATTGATAAGAGCAATGCTGTCCAAATACAACCTTTTATTCAAATTTGTTTTGATATTCCAAGTAATATTCCTTGAGATGCTGATAATCATGCTTTATCTATTCATATGCTGACAAAAAAACCCCTTCCAAATTGTGAAAACTGGGTAAGGAATTGGTTATACTGCAGTGCAGACCCCCCTCCCCCCAGTACTGTGTCCCCAAATGCATCAGTTTTCTTGGATCAGTCAGGAAGGCAGATTAACAGAGACTGAGAGAAGTTGAAAGACTGAGTACCATTTCATAAGAATTCATTGTCAAATAAAACTATGTTACATGGAGATCTGTAAGTATGGTGACAACATCTGAAAGTTCAGTTGGTAATTTACTTTTCACTGCATTATCTACAGAAACTAATCACTGGGGATGGGGGAAACTTTGTGAGTAACGTACAAACAGCTGTTCCCTCTCCAATACTCAAAATTGCAGCATCTGGAGACTGCTTCTCTTCACTAAAAGTCAGGGCTTCATTACATACATTTCCATATAACATATTTTGCCCCCAATTTCAATTACCTTGTTCACAGTTCTACAAAAACTAAGCAGTGCAATGCTCAGTAAAATTGTTAGTATTTTCATTTAAAAGTGTGATCCACTTTGAAGTCTCTGATCCCAGAGACTTCCACATAATCACAGCACTGCTGGGTTGCTGCTGGCAGGGCAGGAGGAGCAATGGAGGCGATTTTGCTCTCTCCATCCGACTTTAAAATGCTTTTCTTTTAGACAGGCCCTCAAGCCCATCTAGAGAGGAATTTCTTAGATCTTGGCCTCTCGCCTCCCTGCCTGTTAGAATGCACCTTTCCTCTTCCTCAAAACTTCATATGCAGCCTTTGGAAAAGGCCAGCATGTTCTTTCCATGATGACTGCCAAGGGGCTTTGTAGGGGAGCAGTGTCCTGCTCCCAAGGTTTTAGCAGTGTCTACGGCCCTGACTGGTTTCTATGGTTCCTTGGGTGCTTTTACAGTGACTGTAGGACTCCTCTCAAAGGAAATTAGGTGGGATAGACTGCAGAAGACAAAAAGCATTGCATAGGAACTCAGTCCAAAAGTAAGCCATCTTAAGAGCCAACCAAACCCTTCCAAATAATGACTCATTCTAAACAATCTACAAAAAGAAAGCTGGCCATTCCCCTGAGATCTCAAAATGGCTGGCTTTATAATGCGTATTTATTCAGAAATTGCCCCCACTATACAGTGGTACCTCAGCTCACGAATGCCTCAGTTCATGACCGAATCAGGTCGTGAACAAAACCTTCATAAAAATATTTACTCAGGTCGCAAACTCTGCATTGGGTGGCGACCGTGATTGCGGCCATCTGCCCCCCCCCCCCCGCCCTGAGTGGGGAGATGGCCGCAATCATGCTGGGAATGGGGGGGGGGGGAGATGGCCGAAATCGCGCCCGTCTTTTCTGCATGAGCACACCTGTGATTGCGCCCAGCTTTCCTGCAGAAGCACCACCATGATCTCGGCCATCTCCCCCACCCCCCCAGCATGCCCACGTTCCTGCCCATCTTCCTCCCCGCAGCATGCCGGGATGACGGGCACAATCTCAGTCGTGCTGGGGGTGGGGGGAGATGCCTGCGCTCCTGCTCCGGGTGATGGGAGGAGATGGCTGCGATCTTTGTTGTTGTCACTTTGCTTCACATTTTTCTGATTAAAAAAAAAAAGTTACAGAACAGATTAACCTTATTTACATTGAACCTTATGAGGAAATTTGACTTGGCTCACAACCAATTTGGGTCATGACCAGAGTCCTGGAATGGATGAAGTTCATGAGCCAAGGTACCAATGTACTGAGTTCAGCTTATCCTCCAGCAAATATTCATGGGATGGTAGCATAACTTAAGTGAAATCAGAAATAAATTATACAGGGTACAATGGATATTCTATACTACATTAGATTGCAGCCTTTAGATTTGAGGAAAATTCGGCTATGCATAAGAATAAATGTATTATCCTCCCTTAGATCATTATCTGAGGTCCTTCCAAAGGAGCCCCCTTCTCAGGAAATAAGGAAGGTGGCTACAAAAAGGCAGGCCTTTTTGGGAGTGGCCTTAGTTTGGAATGAGCTCCCCAGAGAGGTTTCCCTGGCATCTTTTTATTTTTTTGGTACCAGGCAAATACCTTTTTTTAAATTTTCCTGGTATTTTGTTAGATTGGTTTTAATGGTTGTGTATTTTATTATAGTGTGTGGTTTGTCTTTTAGGTTATCATGGGTTCTGTTGTGACAATGGTGTGCTTTATAGTCTTTATATGATTTTATTGTATATGTTTATAACCTGCCCAGGAAGCCTTATGGCTAATGGGGCAGGCTAAAATATAATAAATAAAATAAATCTAGTCTGACTAAATAAATAAATATCATGGATCACATGTGCAACTTAACTGGAGAGAAATTTTTAATGTTCATCCACAATAGATTTCCCCCACTTTTGCCACATCTCCAAGAAATTATTTTCACCAAATCTGCCTTCCTTGCACTTCATAGTTGCATTTACTATTGTTGCATCTTATTTAGGCACTATTGTTGACAGGTGTGTAACTTTATTTTGGAACAATACCAAATTACTTACCTAATGTAAAATGCAGATATCTGTAAAATGTCCTATTTGATGTCATCTCTAGCATTAATATGGTATCTAATTCTTCTCTGCATTGAATATTTTACAATAAAATGGTTTTTGTGCCTTTTGGGAGTCAAATACATGTTGTATTCCAATATCCTTTCCATGGCTTACGAAACTGTTCTTCTTATCCTCACCTGTAGTTTTTCAACTATTTCAGTACAGTGATACCTTGGTTCACAAACTTAATTCGTTCCATGAATCTGGTTCTTACCTGAATTGGTCGCGAACCAAGTCAAATTCCCCCATAAGGTTCAATGTAAATAAGGTTAATCCATTCTGCAAATATTTTTTAATCACAAAAATTGAAACAAAGTAGCAACACAACAAAGTAACAAAGTACAGTACAGTAGCGAACACTAACCTAGGTGGGGGGAGATTATTGTTTGGAAGGAGAGCCCCCCTCCATAAGGACATGGGGAAAATCTCCTTCAGGGGTTTCCTCTCTTCTTTGTCTCTTAGCTGCAGGGTCAATTTTGATGAAAAATCTGGTCGCCTTCATTACCGTTCTGCACATTTTTTTTTACCGCCACCACTTTCTTTGGAGCCATTATTCAATATTATTATGGAATAATACTTTATAGTACTGTATGTGCTAAAAAGCACACACAAAAGCTTCACAGGAAGTGACCACAGGTCTGTCTGTGACCACGAGCAGGGAAGATGGGCACAATTGTGATCGTGCTCATGTGTGGAAGATGGCTGTGATCGCGATCGTGTTCATGTGGGAACATGGCTGCGATCGTCTCTCGATGTGGAGTTTGTGAATGGAGGCAATTTTTTTTTCCGAAATTTTTGTTCGTGAACTGGTTTGGTTGTGAACTGAGGCATTCATGAACTGAGGTACCACTGTACTTTCTGCTTGATCCAGGGGAAAAAACAACATTGAATTGTTTCTCTCTTGTGAAATGACAGGTGAAACCATCTTTTATTTAATGCAAACAATGGCAGTATCATGTTAATTGTCCAATATCGGCAAAAAACAAAGCTATAATTCTAGTATTGCTTGCTTGACAGTGCAGAGGATCAGAGGAATCAGGAGTAGCTAGAGTGGCACTAATAAACTTAATTCCAGATTGCTGGAAAGATAACACTTTTATTGATCTGTATGGCAATAAAGAATAGGCTTATGTATCCTTCTCTTTGTCTGCAAACAACTATGCACAACTAAGAAATGGTTGTGCTGTTCCATGCTACATACTTCTATAGTTGGCCACAGGTCTTCCAGAAGTCATGCGAAGTCCAGTCTGGGTAAACACTGGAGAAGCACTGTGGGTCTTCCTTTCTTAACCTACATTGCATGTTTGATTGTACATGTCAGAATGCACAAATTAGAACCATGTTTATGTCAACATGGAATGTAAGAGCTATACTATGTAAGCTGTCCTGAGCACTTGTGCAGAAGGACGAGTTACAAATGCTTGTAATAAAATAAACTATGTTTGAACTGATAAGCTTGAAATTGATCTCATTTATATATAAACCATTTAAGCTGTGTATCAATTTCTTTCATCTTTTATAAAGTCCAAAACATACTTTCTGGTACTATGTAATAATATACATATTTATGACAGTGAGAAATTTAAGATACATTCTTATGCATGTTTAGA